CCCCCCAAAAAAAAAGGGGCCAGGACCCTAAGGCCCTTTTTTTTTAAAAAAAAAAAAAAAAAAAAAAAAAAAAGTCTCCGGGTTGTTTGTGGAGAATTCCCGTCCCCAAGGTCCTTCAGGAATAAAATGTTCCAGAAAAAAAAAAATTAAAAAAAAAATGGGGAAAAGTCCCCCTGGACATCCGTTAAAATGGGAGCGATAGAGAGTAAAGAAGATTTTAGCATGGCCCTTGCGCAAGGATGACACGCATAAATCGAGATATGGTCAAAAAAAAAAGGAAAAAAAAAAAAAAAAAAAAAGAGAGGGATAAAAAAAAGAGGTTTGGGGGACGAAACGAGAGCGGGTCGAGCAGCGCGCTACGCAGATGCCGCGGAGTATACTTATAATTATTGCTTTTGTTGTTGCCGCTTTTTTTGTAATTATTATTACTGTAAAGAGCAACTATAATATTAATATTACAATTAAAGATCTACTACTACCGCCGTAGTCACTGCCCCTATCATTATAATTATTAATTAGTATAAATTACTTCAATATATTACCACCGAAGCCTCCGGAGTAGGTGAATTCAATGAACAAGTGTACACAATTGCTTTTAATAACTTTAATTTGATGGAAAGGGTAATTGGCTTGTTTAAACTTTAAAGTTGTTCTTAAACCTTTTTTTTTTTTTTTTCTCGGTACAGGTGAATTGAAAATGCGCGTATCAAAGTACAGTGGTTCGAGTTAGCCTTGAGAGAAAGAAAAAAAAAAAAAAAAAAAAAAAAGAAGAAGAAGTTCCGTCATTTTTGTAATCTTTTCTAGCCTGATTTCCTCCCCCCCCCCTCCTGCAAATGAACAAACTCTCTTAATTTCATTAACAAGATAGCTTTTTGATAAATTCTAATAGTTTTTAAGAGAAAGAAAGGGTAAAGCGAGCAACGCGATGAATAGATTTATTAGAATTGTAGATACCATCCACGTGTCGACTTACAGGGATGTGGTTGTGAGGAGTCTGAGGACTCGATCCCGGTACCAGTACCGCTTTAAAAAGGTAAATCGGTCCCCAATGCCCATCTCGGCCTCATCACGATCTCTTTCCCACTCTTCCCACGCAGGTTCAAAGGCGGAAATTTTCAAAAAGACGGTGTCAAAAGAACACGTAGCAGATCAAATTTGATCAAAGCATCACACTTAATTACTATGGATACTCATCGACTCGTGAATCATGTTTGATTTCATTAACCCTTAACCTTTAACCTTTCACCTTTAACCATAGCCGCACCTCTGATGCGGTTTACCGTCGGTAGACTACTGTTACTACTACTCAGGCCATGTCACAGTTACTCGATAATCATCGACCCATGTGAGATTTTTTCCGTAACCTTAAGTTCTTAACCTTTAACCTTAACCTCACCGGTGATGTGGCTTTTTACTGTCGGTAAAGTCCTCCTCAGGCATATGTCACAGGTACCAGAGGAAAGGTGAAAATCTTGCGGGGCCTCTAAGCCTCTCAGAAGATTCCAGAAATGACCCGGCGTACACAGCGATTGCTCATATATACATGTTGGGAGGAGGGGGAAAGCGGGGTGGGGACAGTCAACGGGGGTGCATATGAGATAGCAGAGTTAGACGGGTCTAAGTGGAAGGACCCAGTGGGGGGAGGGGGGGGGGGGGGGGGGGGGGGGGGGGGGGGGGGGGGGGAGATTGGGGGTGAAAGAGCGGGAGAAGGGAAGGGCAAGATGGGGAAAACACGGGATCTTGACGTGCGGCAACACGAGGTCGAGATTCGAGAATGTGTCCTTGGTGTGAAAACAGCCCCCGGGCCGGCTGAAGAAACTTGAGAGTGGAAACAAAGGAGGAATGTTTCCGCGAGTGCGTCAGTCGAGGGTTGGGCCGGAACTTCCCCGGAAGAAGAGAGGAGGTTGTTGGGGTAACAACTGAGGTTACTGAGCTAATTAAGTTACTGTTGAGGGCCACAAAAAAAGGTCCTCTAGCGACCTCCATCACCTCTCACTTGTTGTCTTTTCTCAGTTTTCTGTGAAACGACCTGCGTTGGTGATATATGGAGTATTATGGACCATTTCTCGATTTATGC